TTCTCCCCCCAATTTCTAATTAAATCTACAGAAGTTGCTCAATTCCCTGCTCCCCCATGAGACCACTCTGAAGCTGGGCAGGATGAAATCCCTCAATTCCTGACATTTCCTTTTCCCAGGGAGATTTTACCCAGACCAATCCTGGATTAATTAAAAAATTTAAAAATTAAAAATAAAAATAAATTCTGGAATCGCTCACCTGCCCCATGGGGGGTCCTCCCATGGGGGGCATCATCTGAGGCATCATCCCGTGGGGCACTGGGGGCATGTTGGGGGGTCTCTGCCCCATGGGGTGCATGCCCATGGGGGGGTAGTGGGGCATTCCTGGGTGTCCCATCTGCAAAATAACAAAAAAAAAAATCACCAATCACTCTCAAAAATGAGAATAAGGAACATCCCTTTGCTGGTTTTTTTTAATTATTTTAATTATTCGACCGCTCGAAGAACTTTGTGCTCCTCTGTATGATGGACCTTGGCAGAATTGCCCTTTGGAAAAAAGAAAGAAATTAAAAAATCCAATTATTGATCACAGAATGGTTTGGGGTATCAGGAACCTTAAAATTTCCTCCAGTTCCACCCTCTGGGACCCTTCCACCACCCCGGGAGCTCCAACCTGACCTTGGACCCTCCCAGGGGAAGGATTCCTCCCTCATTTCCCCTCACTCTGCCCCCTTTCCCAAAAGCAAAAATTTCCCAAAGATTTTTTTTTTTCCTCATCCCAGAACATTCCTTGAGCCTTGAGGCAGCCCCACAAAGAAACCAGGAGCAACTGAAAATGTTGGAATCTTGTGGCCAGAACATCTGGACTTTTCCTCTCACAGCACATGCAGTGATGGCTCCTATTTCCCAAATCCCAGGTAATTCCACTTCCTAAAATTCTCACCTGACCCTTTTTTGGAGCGTTTTCCTTCCTTTCAGAGGGACCTGCCAGCCTGCTGCTGTCACTTGTGGAGAGGGAGAAAATTCCCCCCTGAGCCTCCTTTTTTTTTTTTTTTTTCCATGCTGAGCCCCTTTCCCAGCTCCAGCCAGGTGTGTGGTGCCCTGGGGAGCATTGGGAGCAGCGTTCCCAGCAGCTCAGCGAGCTGATCCTGCCCTGGGAGCACATCTGGAGTGACCCTGACCCCCCTGAGACACATCTGGAATAATCCTGTCCCCCTCTAGAGGCACACCTGGAGTGACCCTGACCCCCCCGAGACACATTTGGAGTGATCCTGTTCCTCTAGAGGCACATCTGGAATGATCCTGCCCCCCTGAGACACATCTGGAGTGATCGTGTCCCTCTAGAGGCACATCTGGAATGATCCTGCCCCTCTCTAGAGGCACATCTGGCGTGATCCTGTCCCCCCTGAGACACACCTGGAGTGATCCTGTCCCCCTCTAAAGGCACATCTGGCGTGATCCTGTCCCTCTGGAATGATCCTGCCCCCCTGAGACACATCTGGAGTGATCCTGTCCCCCTCTAGAGGCACATCTGGAATGACCCTGTTCCTCTAGAGGCACATCTGGAATGATCCTGTTCCTCTAAAGGCACATCTGGAGTGATCCTCTCCCCCCGAGGCACATCTGGGCTGCTGTGCCCAGCTGTGGCTCCTCAGCACAGCAGGGCCAGGAGCTCCTGGAGCTGAGCAAGGGCTGGAGCATCAGGAAAGGCTGAGGGAGCTGGGGCTGCTCAGCCTGGAGTGTCCCCGAGTGTCCCTGTCCGTCCCAATGTGTTCCTGGCTATTCCTGAGTGTCCCTGTTTGTCCCAGCGTCCCCACTGGTGTCCCAGTCTGTCTCAGTGTGTCCCTGTATGTACTTCTGTCCTTGGGTGACCCTGTCTGTCCCAATGTGTCCCTGGGCGTCCCTGCCTGTCCCCAATGTGTCCCCAGTGTGTCCCTGCCTGTCCCTGGGTGTCCCTGTCCATCCCCAGTGTGCCCCTGTCTGTCCCTGGGCGTCCCTGCCTGTCCCTGGGTATCCCTGTCCGTCCCCAGTGTGTCCCTGTCTATCCCAGTCTGTTCCCACTGTCTCCCTGTCTGTCCCTGAGTGCAGGGAGTGCTCCCAGCAAGGCACCCCCCGAGCAGGGACTGATCCCAGAAAGTTCCAGCCGCACACGAGCCAAAACTTCTCCCCTGCGCAGGTGTCAAGAGCGCACAGAGCTCTGACCTCCCCCCCCTCAACCTCCCGCACACACAACCCCGCGCCACGGGCTGCCCATCCCACCCAAACCCTCCGGCAGGGAGGCGTGAGCGGCTCCCGGCTCGCCGCTAACGCCGAGCCCTCACTCACCATCAGAGAGCCTCGGTCGACGCCGCCGGGCCGCATGGCGGGGCTGAGCAGGGAGCCCCCGCAGCGGCCCAGGAGGCGCCCGCGCAGCGGCGGCCGCGGCGCCGCGGGCCCGAAGGGCAGCAGCGGCTCGGGCTCCCCGCGGGGCGGGAGCAGCGGCGCCAGCAGGCTGACGGGCTTCCCCGCCGGCCAATCAGGGCGCGCCGCCAGCCGCGCGCTCTTCGGCGATTGGTCGGCTCCCGAGCCCACCGGCCGCACGGCGTCGCCCGGCGTCAGCTGCATGAGGGGCGGCGGCTTCGGCAAAGAGAAGGGCAGAGGTTGCGGGGAGGCGGCGGCGGCCGCGGCCGTGGAGTCCCCGCCGGACATGGCGGCGGCGAGCGGCTCGGCCCCTCCGCGCGGGTTCGGCTCGGGCGGCTGCCGGGAAGCGCGGGACGCGGAGCGAAGCGGCGGCTGCGGCGGCCGAGCGCGCGGGGCACGCCGGGAAACCGCTCACGTGGGACCGGGGGCGGTGCGCGATGCGCCGGGCGGTACCAAGATCGCCGGAAGGAAGGGGGGACTTCCCCCTGCTCCTCTTTCAGCTCGGCGTTCAAGCCGACCGGGAGGTGGCGGTAGATCTCCCCTCAGCCGTGCTGCGGGTGGTACGCGCCGTGTTCTTGCTTCCCCCCCCCTCCCCTCCGTGGCGGTGCGGGTGGTACGGGCCGAGCGCGGCTCCCCCCGCCCCGCGCGCTTTGGTCGGTGCCGCTGAGGGGGAGCGGCCGCCATGGCGGGCGGGGAGGCGGCGGTGGGAAGGGGAATGTCCCGGTGGGAACGGGGATTATCCCGCTGGAATCGGGAATATTCCGCCGGAATATCCCATAGGGGGTCAGCCCATGCCGCTCCTTCACCTGCACAGCCCCACGGTCCCTCCGTGTGTCTGCGAGCCTCGTCCGGGCGCTGCCGGAGCTGTGGCAGCCCTGAGGCCTTGGGCGCTCCCAGAGATGCCGCGGCAGCCGCTGCTTCTCTGGGAATTTCAGCCCCAAAAATCCCCAAAATCCCCCCAAAAATCCTCAAATCCCCAAACCCCAACGTCCATCCCTGCTCTCAGCGATCTCAGCCCGTTCCCTGTGTCCTGTCCCTGCAGGCCACAAAAAAGATTAAAAAAAAAAAAAAAAAGCCCGAGAGGGAGAAGTGAAAGCACAAACAACGATAAAGGTCGGTGTCACTTCAGCTGGGAGTGACTGAAATGGAACTCTTGGTTTCCAAGGAAAAGTGAAAATTATTTTCTTTTTTCCTTCCACAAAGCCTCCCTGCTAAGGTTTAGGTGTGCAGGAAGAAGTTAATTAATTAAATCAAGGTATGATATCAAATTATTGCCCATCAATCAAATCTCTGGGAGACATGCGTTTGGTGTCTTTGATAATCTTGGTTTAATATCAAAAATCCACCTGAATAAAGTGGGAGAAGGGCTGGGAAAGTTGGGAAAAAAAATTCCCAATAATTTAGGATTTGGTTTTGTACCACTTCACACCAAGTTCAGTCAATCCCACTCAGGGATGTGGATTTTTTTAAATTTTAATTTTTTTTATTATTTATTTTATTTATAATACATTTTATATTTTTATTTTATTTTTATTGCATGTCCCATGTCTCATTGCTGTCCTTGAGGAGAGGGGATCTTTAGTACTTTGATTATTTTTATTTCTTTGTTTTAACCACAGCTGCCTAAAATCAATCTAAATCAAGTGAATTTATTTAAATTTTTCTGATTTTTTTAAAACTGTTTTTATGGTTTTACAAAAATTTTAATAGAGCATCCAATCCTTCTTCCTGATCCTGGAGGAAACTTCTGATTTTTAATCTGCATTTTCAAACGGGATTTTTTTTTGGTAGGAAATAGAGAGTTCCACGGTTGAAAAAATTGAAATGAAAATTCTGAAATAGAGAATTTTGAAATAGAAATTCTGAAATGGAAATTCTGAAATGGAAATTCTGAAATGAAGATTCTGAAATAGAGAATTTTGAAATAGAAATTCGGAAATGCAAACCCTGAAATAAAAACCCTGAGGCACAAATTCTGAAATACGAATTCGGGGATACAAACTCTGAAATAAAAACCCCTGATATAAAAAAAATGTGAAATACAAATTCCGAAATAACAATTTGGAAATGTGAATTCTGCAGTGCAAATTGTGAAATACGGAATTTTGGAACACAGATGGTTGGGACAATAAATAGGAATTGGAATTCCTTTTCCGTGGAATTGTAACTTTTAGCTGGAATACATTTAACCAGTGATCTGGTTATTAAATTTTTTTTTTTTCTCTCAGAAAAACTCTTTTATTCCCTAGAAACTCGATATCCGATCGCTGGCAGGTGTTTCCCAGGCACCGAGGGATGGATTTCGGATTTCTTTGGGGAAAGGAGAATTCCGGGAGAATTCCGGAGGAATTTCAGGAGAATTCCGGGAGAATTTCGGGAGAATTCCGGGAGAATTCCGGGAGAATTTCAGGGGAATTCCGGGAGAATTCCGGGAGAATTTCGGGAGAATTCCGGGAGAATTTGAGGGGAATTCCAGGAGAATTCCGGGAGGATTCCGGGAGAATTCCGGGAGAATTCCGGAGGAATTTCAGGAGAATTCTGGGAGAATTCCAGGAGAGTTCCGGGAGAACTCCGGGAGAATTCCAGGAGAATTCCGGAGGAATTTCAGGAGAATTCCTGGAGAATTCCAGGACAATTCCGTGAGAACTCCGGGAGAATTCCAGCAGAATTCCGGGAGAATTCCAGGACAATTCCGGGAGCGGCCAGCAGGGGGAGCCATTGCCGGCCCATCCCGGGCTCCTCCACCGGCGCTGGGCCACGACCGAGAAACGGAAATCATCGATCCGGAGATGGGCGAGGACAGAGAGAGTTTGAATTTTTAATCCGGGTATGGGTGACGACAAACCTCTCTAAAAGATTTTGAATTTGCAATTCAGATTTGGGTGAGGACAAACCTTTCATAGACATTTTGAATTTTCAATCCAGAGCTGGGCAAAGAGAAACCTTTCAAAGATATTTTAAATTTTCAATCCAGATCTGAGTGAGGACAAACCTTTCAGAGTGATTTTGAATTTCCAATCCAGAGCTGAATGAGGACAAACCTTTCACAGAGATTTTGAGTTTTCAATCCAGAAATGGGTGAGGACAAACCTTTCATAGAGATTTTGATTTTCCAATCCAGATCTGGGCAAGGGCAAAACTTTCTCAGACATTTTGTGTTTCCAATCCAGGTCTGAGTGAGGACAAACCTTTCAAAAATTTTTTAATTTCCAATCCAAAGCTGGGTAAGGAAAAATCTTTTAAAGAGATTTTGAATTTCCAATCCAGATCTGGGCAAGGACAAATCTTTCAAAGAGATTTTGAATTTCCAATCTAGGTCTGAGTGAGGACAAACCTTTTGAGAGGAGTGGGGGATTTGTCTTTACAAAATAAAACCAGCCCTGAGAGATCAAAGAAACAATGGGAAGGATTCCAGTGATGGGTGAATGGAATAAAAAGAGATTTGCCTTTACAAACAAACTGCAGCTTTGCTGAGAAATGGAATTGGGTATTGAAAGGAGCAATGGGGAAAAGCCATGAATTCCATAGGAATTAAAAATGCCAAGGGAGGGTTGTACATTCGAGGGGAATCTCGGGGATCAGGGTTTGGGAAGTCTGGGCCTCTCCAGTCCCTCAGCAATGGGGAAAGAGAGAGGGAAATTGGGATAAAAAGGGAGGGGAGTCCTCCAAAAATGGGAGAGAGCCCAGGGGAATGGCCCATGGGCTCTGCCTTTATTCCATACAGGAAAAGGACTCCTCTGCCTCCTGTTGGGACACCAACCTCTGCTCTCTGTAAATTCATTTTCCTGACACTTCCAAAGAGATTTTGAGTTCCCAGCCCATTTGGAATCCTGTGATTCCCAGGAAATCCTGGTTTGGTTCCTTGGAGCTGGGGTTCCACGGGCAGAGTGGGTTTGGCAAACACAGGGTTGGGTTCAATGTGCCACATCCAGCTGGGATATAAAACTTCACCAACTTATCAATCCAGTCTCTTAATTAATTAAGACATATTCTTACTTACAGCTGTAGAAACATAAATTTATATTTTTTTTCTGCTTAATTCCTGTATACTTCTAATTTTACATCCATCCAAGCTTTTTCCAAGGCTGCAAATCAAACCATCTCCAGCAAAGCCTCAGGGATGGGAGCAGCAATTAATCCATGAAATCCTTTTTTAGGAGCAGCTTTTAACAGTCAGAAACACTGGCAGATTCTGTCGGGAAGGGAATAACTCCCAGTTGAATCCAGTGAATTCTTAGCCAAATGTGGACCTGGCTGGTGTTAAACCATCTCCAGTTTCTGTAACTGGCACTGGCAGAGTCTCAGTCTAGGTGTGATGCAAACAGAAACTGCAGCATCCAGAAAACCCAATCCCACAGGGAATTTATAAAGAAATTTCGATTTAATAAGGAAAATTCACTGCTGGGAAATTTTGATTTTCGTGGGCTAAAGAATGAAGAAGAAGTTTGTCAGAGGAAGAAATAAAGGCAAAAAAAATACTTGAGGGATATGGGGAAAAGCTCCCTGCTGTTTTCCAAACGTGGATTCAGCCATCCTGACACTCCTTGGAAGGAAAACAGAGCCCCACCCTCCCCACAGCATCGGTTTAAAAACCCCAAATCACTGCAATTCTTAAATAACTCATGAGCTCTAATGGAAAAAAAAAAAAAAAATCAACAAAAAAAAATCACCCAGCTCAGTCTGCTGGAGGTGGAGCTGCCGGGAAAAACCACCCAAGGAAAAGCAGCCCCAGGTTCCTGCTGGATCCCATTTCTGGGATTGGGAATGCTCAGAGCCAGGTCAGCAGCTCCAGGGGGGGATGTGTTACCCCAGGCGTGTCCTGCTCCCACTTTTCACCCCACAAAACATCAGGATTCTCACCAGCCCGATGCAGGAAAAAGTAAAAAGGCTAAATCTTTTTTTTTTTTTTTTTTTCCTCCTGGGGGAAAAAAGTCTGAATCTGAGGATTAATAATTCCTAGGGAATATTTCATGGGATGGAAACAGTGGGAATTCCTCT